GCAGCAGCGGAGGCATGAGGCGCAGCAGCTCCTGCGGTGGAGGGGGCAGGGGGGAGGGCGGCGGGGAGGGGCCCAGTACTGAGGAGGGTGGGGGAGAGAGGGTGCAGAGGGAGGAGGGCACCAGCAGCCACACGTGCCCCGACGCCAAACTCAAGAGTCCAGCGCAGCCACCGCTAACACAAGGGCCCACCTGCGGCACCAGGGCCAGGCCATTAAGGAAGCTCCACAGCATGGTGGCGCTGGCCTGCCCCGCCGCCGCCGCCGCCGCCTCCAGCTGCTCCTCGCCGCCGCCGCCCTCGCCAGCCTGCGGCGCCGCCCCCGCCCCCGCCACATCTGCCGCCGTCACCGTGCCTGCATCATGCAGGCTCTCCAGGCTAGCGGCCCGAGGCGTGGAGGGACGCGCGTGGCCGGAAGCTGCCGCCGCTGCCGCCTGCAGGGCTGCCAGGCTGGGAGAGACGGGGCGGTGCGCCAGGCCAGAGGGCGTCAGCAGGCCTGCCGGGCCTCCCACCGCGGGGCTGCTGCCGGGAGAGGCCGGCAGCTGCAGCGGTGCTGGGGTCTGAATGGACAAGCGGTGGTGGTTCCCTGGGCGCGAGGCAGCCGGTGACACCAGCGGCGTGCCGGGCGGGTAAGCGCCATCCGCCGCCGCAGCCGCAGCAGCAGCGTCGTCGGCCGCCGCCGGCGCGCCGTTGCTGCCGCCGCTGCCGGCGCCGGCGCCGCGCGGGCCGGGGGTGGCGAGGGTGAATGCCAGGAGCAGCTGGGCTGCCTGCAGCATGGCTCCCTGGCGCGCCTCCTGGGGGGCTTGGAGCAGCCACTCCACAGCCAGGGAGAGGGTGGACACCACAGCCTCGGAACAGTTGAGCGACTGCCAAGCAGGGAGGAGCAGGCAGGCAGGCAGGCCATGCAGGCAGCCTGAGCGCAGCCAAAGGGACAGGCTAGGGGAATGCTGCCCGGCTGGCGCCCCGGCAGAGTGGCACGCTCCCCAGCCCCAACACACACAACAGCCACCACACCGGCCCGGTGCACTGAACACAGCCAGCCGGCGAGCGCCTGCGCCGGCAGGCGGCCAGCCGCTCGCTCACCCGCCAGCCGCCGCCGTTGGCTTCAAAGGGCGAGCTGTTGGCGCTCTTGAGGGAGGCGCTGTCAGAGGGGTCCGCCCTGATGGCACCAGGCGCCTCCCCATCGGCCAGCAGGCTGTCACGGGACGCCCCCGCCGCCGCCAGCCGCTGCGCCTGCCTCTGCGCGCTGCCGGCGCCCGGCGGCGCCGCCGCCGCCAGGCGCGGCGCAGAGCCCACGGGCCGCAGGCCGCTGCCCTGAGCGGCGGCGGCCGCGGCCGCGGCCGCGGCGGGCGTGCCGGCGCTCCCGCCGGCCCCGCCGCCGTTGGCGGCGCCGTTGGCGGCGCCGGCGCCGTTGCCGGCGCTCCAGCCGTCTTCGGCGTCCCAGGCGGCGGCGGCGCAGCGCAGGCGCACATGTGCCAGCAGGGAGCCAACCGCGGCCATGAAGCAGTCTGCTGCGCGGCTGTCAGGGGTGGTGGCCAGCGCGCGCATGAGCAGCTCCCGCAGCGCCTCCTGGCCCCGCATGCCGCGCCGCCCCGGCTGCAGCTGGCAGCCGCCGTGGGAGGAGACCTCTGGGAGCAGCGCCAGCGGCGGCTGCTGCTGCTGCTGCTGCGCCGGCGCCGGCGCCGGCGCCCCGTCCTGCCGCGGCCCCTGCGGCTGCTCGGCCGCCTGCGGGCTGCTGCCGCGGGCCAGCTCGTGCTCAGCGGCAGCCACCAGCAGCTGCAGCAGCCAGCCGCGCCCCGCCCGGCTGCCGAGTTCGCTGGGGTCGCGCATGCAGTCGCCTAAACAGCCCCACACGGCGGCGGCGGCGGCGCCGGCGGGGCCGCCGGGCGGGGCCGCCTCTGGCGCCGTCACCGCCTCCAGGGTGTGCTTCACAGCGTCGTGAAGCGCGGCAGGCACCTGCGGGGGCAGGCGTCGGCGAGGCGGCGGGGGAGCAGGAGCGGTGGGGAGGCGGGGGGGTCCGCGGTCCGCCGGCGGAAGATTCGCGGCGGCCAGCTCAGCAGACGGCGTGTGCCAGCAGGCATTTGTGGTACAGCAGAGTGGGCTAATCCCCCCTCCAGCCATGACTTGTGCGTGTATTCATGCGCAGCCAGGCAGGGCCCCCAGCCAGGCAGGCCTCCCGGCCCACCTGCGCGTCGCTGGCGGCAATCTCCTCCAGGCACTCCAGGCACTCGCCCACCATGGCGCCCGGCACAGACACCACGCGCCCAGGGTTGGACGCCTGCAGCGCCGCCATCTGTGGGAAAACAGCGGGCGGGCAGGGAGGCGTGGAGGGAGGGAGGCCCAATATGCGGCGGGCGAGGGGTGGCGGGCGGCGGGTGGCGCGTGGCGGGTGGCGGGTGGGCGGCGTGTATGCTGCTGCGATTCTGCTGCAATTCTGCTTTCCCCCAGGCTCCAGCCCTGGGGCCCAGCCCCCCAGCCAGCAGCCCCGCATGCACCAGGCCTGCCCCGCCGCACCGCCAGCTGCCAGCCCCACCCCGCCAGCCGCACCTGCATGCTGACGGCGCCCGCCAGCGGCTGCATGGTGCCTGACACGCCCGCCAGGAACAGAGGGTGCAGCGCCTCCGCGGCGTTCATGCGCAGCAGGGCGGCTCCCAGTGCCAGCGCCTCGGAGCTGTGCGCCTGGTGGAGCAGCACCGGCGCCCAGCCGTCCCGGCCCGCGGGCCTCTGTGCGGCGGGAGCGCGCCGGCGGCGCGGGGTGAGGCGGGACTTCACACACCCGGCTGCTGCCAAACACATGGTTGCCCAGGCTGCCGCAACACCCCAGCCGAGGCATACCGTCAGCACACAGCACACACAACACACACACACACGCCGCCAGCCCCAGCCCTGCCCGCCCACCTGCCCCGACACCACGTAATCGTACATCACAGCAAACATGCTGCGCCGCGCCTCGGCGGTGGGGGCCTCCCGGTAGCAGCGCAGCACCTGCGCCGGGCAGCGGCGGGGCAGCGGGAAGACGGCGGGCAAGCAGGGATGCATGCTGGGGATCAGCACCAGCAAACGTCCAGGCAGCCAGCCAGCAGGGATGACAGCACGACCAAGAGGCCTGCCACGTCAGCGCCACGGCGGCTCCCAGCCTGCGGCCGCGAGCCAGCCAGCGACGAACAGGCAGGCAGGCAGGCAGGCAGGCAGGGGCCCGCCTCACCTGCCGCATGCCTCCAAACGAAGCCAGCCGCTCGGGATCCAGCTGGGAGCCAGCCCACCAGGCGGGGTCCGGGCCGCCGCAGCCGCAGCCGCCCAGGGAGCCTCCTGCAGGGCACAAGGGGCGGGCAGATGCAGCGGGGGCGCTCACGCGAGCGGGGCGGCGGCACAGACGCTGCATAACAAGCAGCAGCTGCTGCGCTGCTGCCTGCCATACTTCATGGCTCCAATCGCAGCAAGCAACTCAAGGCAACCAAGCGGCTAACAACTGCCGGGCCAGGCCCCCGCACCTCCTCCTGCTGCTCCTCCGCCGCCGCCGCCGCCGCTGCGCAGCGAGTCGCTGAGGCTGGCTGCCTTGATGCTGCGCCGCATGCCTGCCTCGCCAGCATCGCTGTGGGAGTACAGCAGGTTGGCTGCCAGGCCCACCAGCCAGGCGTGCAGCTGCTCGCTCCACAGGTGGCGGTGCGACTGCTCCAGCAGGGCCGCCACCACCGACAGCGGCAGCTCCTCTATATATGCCCGCACCACGCGGCCATCATAGGTGGTGAGGTGCAGCAGGCAGGACAGCGCCGCCACCCAGGCACCCTCCGACGCGCCGCCGCAGCCGGCCAGGGCGGCCAGCAGCTGGAACAGCAGCAGGCGCAGCCACTGCTGGAAGCGCTCGGCGCGGGCGCAGCGCGCCGCGGGCCGCACGCCCAGCAGCGGCGGCCACTCCGCGCCGCCGCCGCCGCTGGCACCGCCGCCGCGCCCGCCCCGGCCGTCCACGCTGCAGCGGTGGCTGCGCCCGTCGAGCGAGCTGCGGGGGTTGGCGGCGTGCGGCGCCGATGCGGCCTTGAGAGTGGCGGCCAGGGTGGCGCGGAAGGCGGAGGTCACCGTGGCTTTCCAGTTGGCAGACGCGCCGCCGTCGCCGCCGCCGCCGCCCAGCTCCGCCACTGCGGCAGGTGCACGGGCGACGGACCATCAGGCGGGGCGAGGCAGCTGCGAGCGAACACAGAGGCATCACGATACCCGCTGCCCCACGCCATGCCGCCTGTTTCCACCCACCCACCCACGCGCCGGCATGCCTGGCCAGGCAGCCCGACCACAAGACCCACCCGCCCACCCACCCACCCGCGTCGGCCAGCGCGGGGGCATCCTCCGGTACCGCCTCCGCCGCCGCATCGTACAGCAGCTCCCCATGCACAGACAGATTGTACAGCAGGTCAAAGGCGCGGGCCTGCGCCGCCGCCTCGCCGCCCACCACGGGGCGCTGCAGGCGCGGCGCCAGGCGTGCAGGGCAGGGGACGGGGGAGTCATTCAGGGTGGGCCAATGAAGGGTTGGGTGGCAGGGCAAGGCAGAGAGCAGCATAGGCACAGGGTTCGGCACAGGGTTCGGCACATGTGTGAGCTGGGCAGGGCACAAAAATGGACAAGAAAACTGCTGTCCTGCCTTGCACGCTCCCTGCCCCTCCTCTCCCCACCCAACTCCCCTCCCCGCTCCCCACCTGGAGCAGCAGCAGGGCGAGGGGGAAGGCGGCGCGCGGCCCCGCCGCCACATACATATCCATCACCAGTTTCACCAGGATGACCGCCGCCACCTCGCCCGTGCTGGCGGCGCCGGCCAGCGCAAACTGCGCCCCAGCCCCGCTGCCCCACAGCGCGCCGGCATCCTGCGTGGGCGGGGGCCGGGGGGTGCGTGGTGCAAACCGGGGTGGGGCCGAGGAAAGGAGCGCTGGCAGGCACGTGCCAAGCAGAACACGGGCAGTCAGGCAGTCGGGCACGCGGTGACGGCATCCGGAGCCGCCGCTGCGACGCAGTGCTCTGCCCCGCCACCTCGCGGCGTCTGTGTGCCCACCTGGAACGCCGCCGGCCCGCCGCCCATCTTCCCAAACACGGCCTCCACCACCGCCGCCACCTCGCCCTCCTCCAGGCCCAGAGGCTCCTGCTGGCTGTACGGCTTGTACTGGAACAGCATGCGGGCGCGTGTGGAGCGTGCCGTGGGCTGCTGCCAGGACGCCGCCTCGCCATACGCCCCCGCCGCCAGCAGCCACGGCTCCAGCTGCGGCGGCGCGGCGGTGATGGGCGGCCGCGGCGGTGCCGCGCTGCCCGCGGGCCGAGCCAGGGTGGCGGGGTGGGAGCGCGGGAAGGTGCCGCTGCCGCTGCCGGCGGCGGCGGCGGCTGCGGGGTCGAGCGCCAGCGAGACGTGCGGCAGCGGCTGCCAGGCGCCCGCCGTGTGGCTCACGCCCGCCTGGTAGCGCTGGTGGAAGACGTCAGCAGCAATGCCCCAGCCGCCGCTGCTGCTGGCACTCTCCTGCAGGGCCAGGGACACAGGTGGTGCCAGCATCACAGGCTGAGCCGGGGGCGGAACGAGGGAACCAGCGCAACCGCTGCAGGGTGACGGGGGCGGGGCCGAGCGCGCAAGCAGCTGCAGCAGGCGCACCTGGCCCTCGCCCTGCCGTCCCTGCAGCATCACTCCTCGCTGTCAGGCAGCGTGCCTGCCTCCCTGGGCGCCTCGCAGCAGGGTTGTGGCCGCAAGTCGACCGGCTGGGGGTTCCGCCGGGGCGGCTGACGCCTGCCACGATCGACGAACACCGCCACAGAGCTTCAGCGATCAAAGACAAGTCTGTAGGGACCACGATCAGATGGCCATTAGGGAGGAAGTCTCAAGTCCCCAGGCCCCTCAGCGACGTTGATTTCAGTGCTCTACATTCCCATCTCATGCGCGCTGCTCGGTAGAAAAGAGTGCCTAGCTGGCGCGCTGCGCTCCACTACCGTCGGCTTGACTCTTTGACCGATTGTGGGACAATTGCAGCCCTGTAGACGAACGACCACCACCACCGCAGCTCTCTGCGCCCCGCCGTGCCCACTGCCCGGCTGCTGCCCAGTGCGGCCCTGTATGCCCAGTGCAGCGCCCCTGGCGGCCGTTGCACGCGCTCAGCACCCGTGCCGCAGCCCCAAGCCAGCCCACAGGCCCATGACTGTGGCGGCAGCGGCGCTGAAGCAGGCCTCGCCCGGCGCCCGCGCCTCGGCGGCGGCGCTCAGCGAGGGGCCCTCCCCATTGGACGAGGACGCACCGTCTGAGGAGCAGAGGCAGCCTCTGTTCAAGTTTGGGCTACTCAGCGATGTGCAGCATGCCGACATGGACGACGGCGCCTCCTTCCACGGCACGCCGCGATACTACAGGTACCGCCTTTTGCTTTTGCGACGCTGGGACCATGAAGGCAGCGGCGCTGATGTGCCAGGGCTGCTTGGAGGCCAGCACCCAGCGTCGTGGCGGCTCCGAGCATCGCCCCTGCCAGCCCGCAGGTACGCGCTGTGCCAGCTGGACGCGGCGGTGGACGCGATGAGCGCCGCCGGCGTCGCCTTCTGCCTCCACCTGGGCGACCTCATCGACTTCCACAACAGCCGGCTGGGCGTGTGTGCCGACACCGAGCTGCACCACTCGGAGAAGGCGCTGCGTGTGGCGCTGCAGCACTTCGACCGCCTGGGCCGCCCCACGCTGCACCTGCTAGGTGCGACCACCCCCCTCTTTTTTGGACAACTTGTGTTTGCTTGTTTGGAAAAGAGTGGGGGAATGGTGGCGCCAATCGCAGCAACACCATGCCTCACTGGCAGTCGCTCCATCCGCGGGTGGCGCGCCCCCTCGCTGACCTGGCGTCCTGCCCTGCTCACCTGCCCTGCCCACCCGTGCCTGCCCACCTGCCCTCCCCGCCCCTGCCCGCCACCAGGCAACCACGAGCTGTACCAGCACTCCCGCGAGGAGCTGAACCGGCGGCTGGGCATCAGTGCGCTGCAGCGGGGCGTGGTGCCACACTCGTACTACACTTTCCACCCCGCGCCAGGCTTCCGCTTCATCATGATGGACGGATATGATGTCTCCATCCTTGGCTGGCCCCCAGGTGGGCTGCGCCTGTTCACTTTGCTGCCTGTGCATGTTGGCAATGCTGGTTCTGGCAGCAGCCACTGCCGCTTGCCGCACCAAGTGCGGGATCCGCCTTCTCGCTGCAAACATCCAATCCCGGGCCCGCCTGCGAGCAGGCCACCCGGGCCACGAGCAGGCGCAGCGGCTGCTGAGCAAGCACAACCCAAATGAGGACAAGAACAGCGCCAACGGGCTGGAAGGCGTGGACCGCAGGTGCGGCCTGCTCCTGTGCCCTGCCATCCCACTCGCCCTGCTTTCACTTTGTTGCCAGCGTGTCATCCCTGCTTGAATCTGAGTACTCGTATGGCATGTACCGACAGACTCCCCCTCCCCCTTCCCTCTCCCGCGCCCCCTCGGCTGCAGGTTTGTCAAGTTTGGCGGCGGCGCGAGCGCCGAGCAGCTGGCGTGGCTGCGGGGGGAGCTGGAGAGCGCGGCGGCGGCGGGGGAGCGTGCCATCGTGGCCTGCCACCTCTGCTTCCACCCCGCCACCTGCCCGGGGGCTTGCCTGCTGTGGAACTACGACGAGGTGCTTCAGGTGAGGGCCCCTTCCTTGTATTGGATGGGGTGGTACCAAAGGGCGGTACACACCACCTGCTTCTGCCCCATGTTTGTGCTGGTGCTGCTGCCAGCAGCACCAATGAGTGAATTGCTCTTGATGGCAAGCGCCCGCTCATCCCCTGTTCCTGTGCACCGCCGCGCCGGTCAGGTGCTGCAGCGGTACCCTGGTACCGTGGTGGGCACGCTGGCGGGGCACGCCCACGCCGACGGCTTTGCCGCAGACGAGGCAGGCATCCGCCACCGCGTGTGCAAGGCGGTGCTGGAGACGCCGCCGGGGCGCGAGTGCTACGGCATTGTGGAGGTTTTTGCTGATGCCATCCGCATCAACGGCGTGGACACGTTTGCAAGCGAGGAGTGGCCCCTGGCGCCGCTTGGGCCACCCACAGCAGCAGCAGCAGCCGCGCCAGCAGGAGCACCAGCCGCAGGCGAGCCAGCGGGCAAGCAGGTGGCGGCGGTGCAGGCCTGAGCCTCAACCCTGCCCGTCCGGCGCTGCTCCCGCGTCCGGCCTTTTCGCTGTGCGCAAAATCTTTTGTTTCTGTGGCGCTGGCAATCTTTTTGTGACGAATTTTCTCACAGAGAAGGCCGCGCATAACTTTCAAAAAAAGCAGCAGAGGGTCTGTGGGGCAGGCAGGCGGCGGGGCTGCCCGGCCCCATGCACAAGATGCTTCATATGTCAAGTGGTGCTGTGGGTTGAAGAGCTGAACGAAGTGGCCGCAGTCCGTTGAAAAGCAGGCAAGAGGGCGGGGAGGGGGTATGCAGGAGCAGCGACAAACAAGCGGAGGAGGAAAGGACGAGGTGAGTGGGGAGTATACATGCAAGAATCTACTACAGGCGCTGGGGGCGTGCGTTCCAGCAAACAATTGAGCGAGCGAGCGAGCGCCGCTGCCGCAGCTGTCACCTACAACCAAGGCACCCAGGGCGCAGCGCCCAGGCAGGCGGGCAGGGGAGCTAGGCCCCCGCGCCAGCTGCCCGGCCGAGCGGCGGCGGCGCAGCGGGCGCTCGCAGCGTGTTGGCTGCAGGCTGGTGCGCCTACTCGAATGCCCACTGGTTCTCGCGGCGCACCTCTTCCTCCTGCAGCACAGCACGGTTCGGGAGGGAGCGGTGGGGCAGGGTGCGGATGGGGCAGCAGCCCCAGCAAAGCGTCTCGCTCGCGCTGGCCCCGCCTCCCAACCCCACCCCAGCTTGCGCCCCTCCGCAGCCCAGCACCCGTCCTGCCACACCACGCAACCCCGCCGGCGCCCACAGCCCAGCACCCACATTCCGGCAGCCCAGGCCAGCACAATGCGGCAGCCCCGCCCACAGCCCCGCCGCACCTCCTCTGGCGTGAAGTCGTTCTCGATGTTGAAGGTCTTGCGGATCTCCTCAGGCGTCTTGCCCTTGATCATGTTGGCGACCGTGAGGCAGGTCAGGTCCAGCAGCGACTTGATGTTGAGGTAGTTGGCGGCCTGGGGGGAGGAGGCAGGGGGTGGGGCAGGGAAGCATGGGGAGCATGGGGGGGTGGGGTGGGAGCGCAGCTAGGGTGGATGCCGGCGCTCGAGGAGCAGCAGCTCCTGTTGCATTGCGTGGCAGGCCGCGGAACGCAACCTTGGCTGGTGCCTTGCAGCGCGGCGCCGGCGCCCTCCCCCTGCCTTCGCTCACCAGGATCAGCTCAAACAGCACCCCCTGGTCGACCTTTGTGAACTCGGCGTCAAACGCCTGCGGGTTGCACAGCGCGCCACCCCATGTCCATCCAACTTCCAATGAATGCGGCGAGAGGCGCGCATGCACAGCTGCGCACGGGCCTGGCCCCGGCGGAGATGGCAGGCCTCGAAATAGCTGGCAGCATGCGGCGCAGGGGCGGCAACGCGCTGGCCGAGGCTCCTCCCCACCTTGATCTCATCCTCGGTCTTGCCCGTCTTGCCGTGCTCGTCCTTCTTCTCGGCCGCTACGTGGAAGCTGCAGTACTCGATCACCTTGGACAGGATCTTAGAGTTGACATTGGGGACGGGGATGACCTCGTCGCTGCCAATCTCTGCGGGGTGGGCGGGCGGCGCCGATGGCGGCGAAAATGGGGCGGCCGAGCGCAAGCCGGGGCCGGGTGGCCGGCGCGCGGGGGACAACCCCAGCGTCGTTCCACCAGGCTGGGCAGGCCAGAAGGCGGGAGTTTGGCCGGGCCAAGTAACTGCAGTCGAGGAGAGTCCCCAGGCGGCTCAGCGCGCGATCAGCGGCGCTCAACCGTCCCCCCGCCCTCACCCTCGATGGTGTTTAGAATGGTGACGCTCTGCTTGGCTACCTCCGCGTCCACCTCAAAGTGCTGGGTGTCGGAGCTGAGCAGCTTGACCTGCAGCGGGGATGGAGAGGTGTGGGTGCGGGCGGGACGAAGAGCAGGCCGCACGCCCGAGCAGAGCCCGCCGAGCCCCAGAAAACCACCTTCTCTGTCATCCTGTCCACCCCTGTTCCCTTCACGTGTTCCTGTCTGGAGAGCAGGGCGTTTGGAGAGCAGGGTGTGCAGTCCCCTCCCTCCTGCGTCCAGTTTGAGTCCAGACCCTGGCCGTACTCCACGTGTATTGCGCCCTGCCGCACCACCGCAAAACCCCGCCAGTCGCCCAGGGGCACTCCCTGTGTCCTCCGATATCTATTCAAGAGTACGTTGCAGCATGACAGCCCGCTGCACAGCGTGTGCAGGAAGTCAGGGACCACTGCCGCCGCCGCGCCACGTGCCGCCAGGGTTTGAATGCGTAGCCAGGGCAACACCTTTGCTTTTCTACATTTTTCACTTGATTCCAGAAGTGCCTGCCGCCTGCTGTGCCGTGTGCCATCCATCAGGATCTGCATTGGCCTCTCGCCCAGCGGCCTCTGCCCTGCCACCGGCACTTGGCGCAGCTGTGGCCCACCATCCCCAACAGCACATTCGTTACGGGCGCAGGACCCGCATTCAAAGCCATGATAGAAACAAGCAGATCACGCTGCAGGACGGGGCAGACACACATTCAACGGGTGCGCTGCTACAGCTGCGGAGGCGGCGGCGGCCGGAACTGAGGCGTGAACAGCTGGTGCTGCGCCTGCTGCGCCTGCTGCGCCTGCTGAGGTGCCTGCATCCCAGGCGCCTGGCCCGCATACTGCGGCTGCATGATGGCGCCGGTGCCGGGCGGGCGCTGCTGCGGCGGTACCGCGTACTGCGGCCGCAGCACCTGCCCCGTCATGCGGGGCGGCGCCGGCTGGCCGCCGCCGTAATACCCGCCGCCGCTGCCAGCTCCAGCCCAGCTGCCCGGTGGCGGCGGTTGCATGTACATGCCCTGCTGCTGCTGCTGCTGTAGCGACATGCCGTTGAACTGCGCCGCAGCTGCCTGCACCTGGAAGGCGGCGGGCGGCGACGGCCGCGGCAGCTGCCCGCTGAAAACCCTGCCCGCAGGCGGCATCTGCTGGTGCGGGTGGTAATACGCCACTGCCGCAGGTGCAGAGCCGGGCTGCTGCTGCTGTGGCGACGGCTGCATGGGCTTGGGGCCACCCATGCTGGGATGCTGGCCAGACCCCCTGCCGCCGCCACCGCGCCCACCCCTGCCGCCGCCGCGCCCGCCTCTTCCCCGCCCGCCCTGGGCCTGCTTGGGGCCCCTGCCGCCCTGCACCAGTCCCTCTGGCTGCTGCTTGCGCTTTGCCTCCAGCTTGCGCCGGTGCCTGGCCTCCTGCAAGCAGGCAGGGCACGGCGGAAGGCGGGCGGGCACACATGGTTGGAGTGCATGTGTGATGGTAGCACCATGCCGGCACGCAGAGAAGGGGGCACACGTGAGTGCACGCCCGCTGCACAGCCCTGCTGCATCCGAGTCCGCTTTGCGGCCGGCTCTGCACCCCAGGGGCTGGCTGCAGGCCCCTCGCAGCAGCAGCATGGCGGCCTGCTGGATGGCTGGGCAACAGAGCCAGCTGCTGCCTGGTCCTGGGCCCCACCCAGCACCTTGCTGGGATGGCAGAACCGAGACCTGGCCTGCTGACTGGGCGCCCCCTCCCTGCCGCACTCACCGCCTCGTCGTCCGAAAACTGCGCCTCCAAGTCCGCCTCCTCCTCCTCTGCCGCAGCATCGTAGCCTTGCACCCGCAGCTGCTCCGGCAGCACAAAGTCGGCCAGCCTGCAGGCAGCCCAGAGAGCCGGGTGCGGCCAGCAAAAAGAGGTCAGGGATTTGCCTCCTGAGCAGCAGCAGCAGCACCACTGGAGGAGGAAGCAGCAGCAGCTGCAGCAGAAGAAGAAGAACAATGCCTCGCCCCTCCCACCCACCTATCCACGCTGTACACTGTTGCACCAGGCTGCAGGGCGGCGGGCATGGGCTCCGCGCCACCATACCGCAGCGCATACAGCGGGCTCACGACTGCACGGTGGCAGGCAAGGCAGGCAGGCAGGCAGGCGCTCGCAAGCAGTCAATTGCGGGCAGGAGGCCCAGCCAAATACTGCTGCAGACACACCAGGGTGAGCGCAGGTGCTGCCGCTGCCAGACTAGACGAGGCAGCAGCAGTGCAGCACGTTGCAAGGGCAGCGAATGCAGCCGCCCCAGGCGGCATGCACGCCCGGCCCGGCAGCGCCACTGGCAATGCCACGCCACGCCCGCCGCACCTGGCCCAAAGATCTCCTCCACGCATCCAATGGGGCTGCGGTCCTCCAGCACCAGCACACACCCCTCGTTCAGCGCGCGGCTGCCCGCCTGCGCCTGCAGAAGGCAGGAGGCGGCAGCAGCACTGCCGGCTTGCACCGCGGGCATGGGGGCGCCCCACAGTGCTGGGCATGCAGCATCAACCCCTCTGCCACCTCCACTGCCCCCCTGCCTCGTGTCGCTGCTCCCAGGCGCCACAGCCAGGTCAGCAGGCCGCCAGCTTGCCTTGACCACCACCATCCCCTCCAGCATCGACAGCACAATGCCCGCAGCCTGCACCGCCTCGTCCGCCGAAACCTGCACGCCCGCCAGGGCCGGCAGCGGCAGCGAGCCCAGCAGCTCGCGCTCGGCGCGGTGCGCGGCGGCGGCGCCGCCGCCGCCGTCCTCGTCAGCGTCCACGTCAGCGTCCATGTCGTCGATCATCTGCCGCAGCTCGGAGTAGTTCTGGATGACGTCCAGCGGCTCGTCGGCAGAGGCCGAGGACGCCTCGTCGTCGCTGCTGCTGCCGCTGCTGGCGCTGCTGGAGAAGCCGCTGTCGTCGGCGACCTCCTCCACCTCCATGCCCGCCGCCGCAGCCGTGCCCCGCGGGCCGCCCCCCACGAGCAGCAGCCGCACCGAGACCCCATCCTGGCCGCCGCCCAGCGGCCGCAGCAGCAGGCGCACGATTCCCGCCGCGCTCTCGTGGCTGGCGTCAGGATCTGATGGCCAGGCAGCAGGGCGGCGGAAGCGAACCCAGCCGTCAGCACAGCAGCACAAGGCAGGTGCTGGCCTCGGCTGAGTAGAGAAGGCAGGCAGGTGTGTGCAGCCCAGGCATCCTGGCACAGCAGCGGCTAGCACAGGGGTGGTGCGCCCACCTTCATCCGAGCTGCTCTCGGCCTCATCACCCGAGTCGTCTGACAAGCTGTCCTGTGGCACCTCAGCTGCTGCCGCTGGCTGCAGCCCTAGCTCAAAGTAGCCCATCTCCGCCAGCACGGCAGGCACGGGCGCCACACCTGCCGCCGCCGCCGCCACCTCCAGGTCGTCGATGCTGGGCAGCTCGCCTTCCATCACATACTCCTCCTCGCCAGCCCCGGCCTTGTTCCTGCGGGGGGCCCGGGTTTGCTGCTGCTGCTGCTGGTGCTGGGGGACCAAAGGGGGGGGGGGGGGCTGCCCACCCGCAAGCGAAGGGGCTTGCAAGACCAGAATGGGCTCCATTGGAGTTAGTAAAGGACCAAGAGGGGGTGCCAAAAACTTTACACAGGATGGGTCCGTGCGAAATTGGGTTCCTTACCGCCCTTGCCGGCGGAAATGCCACTGCAGAAGCAAACGCAACACAGGCAGCACGCATGCAGGGGGTATGCATGTGTGTGGCAAGGGCATGCCAAGTCAGCGTCGCCGCACAGCGCGGCTCAGCGCACTGACGCTTCTTCCAGAGGCCTGGATGGAACTCCCAGCTGCATCAAACCGGTCACACCTGGCCACATCAAGCTTACAGCAGCTGGCGGCTAACAAGTCATGTTTTCAAAGGCCCTGTGGCCTCGACGTATCAAGCTGGGTGGGGCAGCGGCGATGGCAAGGAGCACTGAGAAGAGAAGGTCAAAACTTTGCCGTGGCTGCATCTGCATGCGACAAGCGGCCACGCGCACAGCGAGAAAAAGGGAGGCGGAATGAAAAAAGCCTGCACCGCTGCCGGCTGCCTTTGTTATCCTCGCCGCTGCTCAAGCCTTGGGGGCAGCCTCGTCTTTCTTGTCTGCAACCTTCTTGGGCTCCTCATCGTCAGCAGCAGCCTCCTTAAGCTCCTTCTCAAACTCCTGCAGCGAGCAGGCAGGCGGCAGCAGCGTCGCGCTGAGCAAAACGAGCAGCAGCAGAGCAGAGGCAAAGGATGGGCACCAATGGCAGCAGCTGGAGGCAATGATGCTGATGCTTGCATGCCGCAGCACCACTGTACCCAGGCGGGCAGGTCAGCAGGCAATGTTTCAGGCCAGTGCAAGCCAGCCGATGACCATCCATCCTTCCGTCGATGCTGACAGGCTGCGGCTTTCATGCCAGCGCCGCGCTGCCCCACGCCCCCACCTTTGCTGCGGACTGGAAGTTCCTCACGGTCTTGCCAAGGCCCTTTCCAAGCTCCGGCAGCTTGCTGGGCCCTGCGCCAGTCGCCAGAATGGGAGCGATAGTGGGAAATGAGGGCGCGGCGGTGCAGTTGGTGACGGCGGGCCACCACCACCCGCTCGTTGGTCCCAGACCTCCAGCACCGACGCGACACCCTGCGCACCAAAGATAAGCGCCGTCACGCCCGCAATGACCGCCAGCTCGGGCACGCCCAGGCCAAACAGGCCCATGACGGCGACTCGCCGTGCCGCAGGCCGCGAGGACACCCGCAGCGGGGCCCGTAGCATGCTGCTGCCTCCAATGCAGGCGCTGCTGCCAGGGGGGCCGCGCCGGGCAGCAGGCCTAGCCGCTGCCGCCACCACCGGCCTGCACTGCACGCAAGACGCCATTTGCTGATGACCAAGGCGGTTGCAGGGAATTGACGGATTGGCGATGGAGCGAGCAGCAGTAGAGTGGCTCAGACTGCCCATGAAGAAGACAAATCCAGATGGGCAGCCAGCTCAGCCGGTCAGAAGGGCGATGGAGACTGTCTGGCAGGCACCCAATTCGTGCTTGCATGCAGTTGTACCAATGTGGCGTTGTGACGGTGCCCTTGGCGGTCCAACCTGCCGCCGCCAACATTGCATGTCAACATGCCGAGCACAAAGGCTTCCGCTGAGCGGGGGAATAATTTACAGCACAAAAAAGGGGTGAGTGTGCAGCAGAAAGCCAAGAAAAAAGGAGGAGAACGGGAGAGGAAGAAGCAGGAGAAGCGTGGCGGAGGGCTGCACCGCGCAAGCTCGCAAGCAAGCAAAACAAAAGACGTAGCGAAGCAATCGAACAGCAGCAGCGAGGAGCGCCGGCCTGGCACCTCCCTACAGGTGCGCCTGGGCGCTAGGTGATGAGCGCAAGCCAGCCAACCGCGGTGTAGAGCAGCACCAGCGGGAAGACGGCCAGCGCCCGCCGGTTGGCTGGCACGGCGCCGCCCACAAAGGGTATGCTGGCCCAGGACGCCCACACAATCATCACGGGCACCACAATCCACCTGCAGTGCAGGCGGGCAAGGAGCAGCCAGCAAGCCCATCAGCCGCATGCCCTGGCCGACCGCAGCTTCTGCACATGGAAAGCAGCCAAGCCGCAGTTCCAGATGCCCGTAGCATGACAAGCCACCGACCCCACACTGGGCGGCGCCCGGCACCAACCAGCAACACCTCTCGTAGCCTTCCCCTCTCGTAGCCGCCCGCAGCACCCTGCCCACCAGCCCAGCCCTGCACGGCCCGCACCTGACCAGCATGATTTTGACTGTGACGCACACGATGGCGGCGACGTCCATGGGGAACAGGCAGTAGCCCAGCAGGCAGAGCGACTGGAAGAAGCCGATGGTGCCGCCCAGCAGCACCACGTTCACCGTCAGCACAATGGCGCCCATGGACACCAGCGCAAACACTAACTGCAGGGCGGCGGCAGGGCACAGGGAGGGGGCGGGCCAAGGCTCAGCGGGGCGCCGCGGGCAAGGGCCGACTCGGGAGGCCCGCAAAAGGCTGGCCATCGAAGCGCCGGAACTTGCTGCGGTGCGCACCCAGCCCGGCGACAGCCACTGCCAGGCTGAACATCAGCACCCCCACGCCAGCCCCCGCCGGCACCGAGCTGCCGCCGCCCTTCCCGCAGCACGCATGTGTGCATGGCATGCGCCCACGTGCCACCCAGGCCCCCACCGAGAAGGTCTTGGAGGCGGTCTGCGCGCCCAGGGACAGCGTGGTGGCCAGGCCCAGCGTGAAGATCATGGGGCCCCACAGGTCCCAGTTGCGCAGCGCCGCCGACTGCTGGCTGCGGTCCTTGAAGGGGAACACCACCATCACCTGCGGGCGGCGGGGACGGCAAAACAAAGGTGGCAGCGGCGGTGGCGGCGGCCCTCGAGCGGCAGGTGGTAGGCCACGGTTGTCAAACAGCGCGGAGGGCAGGGGGCCAGCCCAGCGCAGGCCGTGCCCTCGCGCACCAGGTTTTTGCAGATGCGGCGCAGGTCGCGCTTGGCCGTCTCCCACACCGGCTCATCCAGCGTGTTTTGCGGCCCGCCGCCAAAGCCCAGCGTCGGCAGGCTGGTGCCCTCGCCGCCGGCGCGCGGCGAGCCGCTGCCCGCCGCCGCGTAGCCGCTCGCGCCCGCTGCTGTGCTCACCGGCACCGACGGGTCGCCCGTGAACAGCTGCAGGATGAAGACAAGGGGAGGGCGTGGGTTGGCGGGTGTGCGAGCGGCGGCGGCGGTGCAGCAAGGACCGGGGCCTGCCGTGGCTATGCAGCGGCCCCTCGGCAGCTGCCTCTGCGGGACACGCAGCAGTTGACGAGGGCTGGCCAGGCGGCAGAGGAGGTGCAAGTCAAAGCAACGCGCACCCGCTCCACGTCGTCTCGCCGCGGCTGGCCGAAGCCAGCGACGTTGCCACCCAGGAAGGACATTGCTGCGCTGGGCCCAGGCTGCAGTTGCTGCAGAGAGCTGGCGATCAAGAAGGCGATCCCACGCCTGTCAGGGAGGGCACTCTGTTTTGCGGCCGAGCCAAGCAGCAATTTTAACAAGAAGGAAGTGGTGAACGCCACTGCTCCACTCTGCTCAGTCCGAGCTGGCCCAGACTGCAGGACTTGAGGCCAAGCGATGCCGCCATCGCTGTTTGCATGCATTGCGCCTGATTGCCGTCAGCCATCCTAGCAACCCCCAGCCGCGACAGAGGCGCCTCCAAAGCCATGGCCTCTCTGTCTGTGCGGCCAGCAGCTCCGGCGGCCAGGGGCAGGGGAGCTGCGTGCTTGCCAAGGCAAAGGCGCGTCATGGTGGTCAGGGCAGCAGCCGGGCCCGCCATTATGGTGAATAGCTGCACGGGCAAGGTGAGTCTGGGCTGCGCAGCACCCTTGCACAGGGCCCTGTCAATGCAGCAGGGTGGGATCTCCGGCTGAGCCATCCTAAGCAGCGGCAGGCTGGCCGTTCCAGCCAGCGCCACGGCCGTCAACGCCGTCGCCGCCACCTTGCCCGCTTGCCGCCCTCCTCTGCCACCTTGCCCGCCCTCACAGATGGGCCACTCCACAGCAGAGGCGGTGGTGCGGGCAGGCCTCACGCTGGTGCCCTACAGCCTGACGGGCCAGTCGGAGGCGGTGGCGGTGGGCAACGTGGGCATCAGCGGCATCCCTGTGGAGCTGGTGGGCCCCACCGAGCGCCAGGCAGCCCTGGAGCGCATCCGCAGGTGAGACTCGCGACGCCTGCCGCCGCCGCCTGTCGCCGCCGCGCCGCGCATTGTCGCCGCGCCTGCTGCTCCCGTCCTGCAGGCCTTGCGAAGCAGCGTGGCACACTGCGCGGTGGCTGCCGCTGCTCCAGCCGCCATCCCTCGCCCTCCCTCCCAGCTCGTTCACCCCCTCCCTCCTGCTCCACGCAGCAAGTACCCAGACCTGATCGTCGTGGACTACACCCTGCCCTCGGTGCTCAACGAAAACGCTGAGTTCTATTGCGCCAATCAGCTGCCCTTTGTGATGGGCACCACCGGGGGCGACAGGGAGAGGCTGCTGGCCGACGTGGCCGCCTCGGGCTGCTACGCCGTCATCGCGCCCAACATGGGCAAGCAGATCGTGGCGTTCCAGGTGGGGCGGCAGCCGGGGCGCGGCGGCGCGCGGGGCGCAGCCGGCGCGGGGAGAGGCGGCGGCGGTGGTGGTTGGCCTACCGGCGGGGATGCAGCCAAACAGGTCACGACACGTGGCGTGCTCTGGAGCGGCGAGCCGCTGGTCGCTGCTGCTGGCGTGCCCCCCACCTCAGCCAGTGCACACACCCTCTGCCACCCACCCGCCCGCCTGCAGACGATGATGGAGATGATGGCGGACCGCTTCCCCGGCTGCTTCTCCGGGTACAGCCTGGCGGTGGCAGAGAGCCACCAGCGCACCAAGGTGGACACCAGCGGCACCGCCAAGGCCGTGGTCAAGTCGTTCAACAAGATGGGGCTGCCCCTGGAAGAGGTGGGCCGGGCCTGTGTGTGTGTGTGTGTGGCGGTGGTCGCGAGGGGCTGGGCCTGGGGCGTGTAGAGGGCTGCAGCGTGGTTGGGGATCGGGGAGCGAGCCCGCGCTGCTCTCGCTGCCGCTGCTGCTGCTGCTCCATGGCTCCCTGCCGCGCCCGCCCGCGCTGCAGGAGCAGATAGAGAAGGTGCGGAAGCCGGAGGAGCAGATAGGGCGCATGGGCGTGCCCGAGCAGCATGTGGACAGCGGCCACGCCTTCCACACCTACACCCTCACCAGCGCAGACGGCAGCGGTGAGAGCGCGCAGCAGGGCCCAGGCCGTGGCTCGGAGTGCTGCGCGGCCAAAAGGCCTGCTGCCGCTCCTCTTCTCTGCTGTGCCGTTCCCGAACCGGCATGCCTCTGCTGAACCTCTGCTGCACTGCTGAAGCAACACTGCTCTGCCTGTCGCCGCCCGCTCACGCGCCACCATCGCCTCCTTGGTCCCCTCCAACCCTGCAGTCGTTCTGGAGTTCAAGCACAATGTGTGCGGGCGGGACGTGTATGCTGAGGGCACGGTGGATGCCTGCCTCTTCCTGCACCGCCAGGTCCAGGCGGGAGCTGAGCAGAAGCTGTACAACATGATTGATGTGCTGTCGGCGGGCGCCATGCGGTGACGCTGCTGGTGCTGCCTGGCTGTGCCTCAGAGATGAGGCCCGGTGCCAGCGCTGGTGCTGGGAGCTCCCAGCGGCTGAGCTGTTCTGGACGTTGGCCCGCTGTCTGCCGCCTTCTGTGATCTTGCGGTGGTGGGAGCTTCTGCGTCATGCATTCATGGAGCTCCCCTTGCGCCAGCCTCTTCCCGTCGCCTCCCCAGCTAACCACCACCTGCCCGTTGCTTTCTGCTTCTGCACTTTTGCTCCACGTTCCAACCTCCCTGCTCTGTTACTGCTTGTCCCACCACGTCCCATGCACCCGGCACTTGCTTGACCATTGCTTCCCTGACTCTTTTGTAAGGACTGCTGCTGAAAGCTGTCAGCAGGCAAGCACAGCTGGTGTGATTCGGATGTATGACGGCCATCAGACGTACAACTGAATCGGCTAGGAAGAAGCTTGCAGCCACAGCTCCACCGGCGGGCTCAGCCCCAGCGGCTGGCCGGCCACACTGAGCCACGCCAGCAGGTATCGCAGCATGCGCCCATGCGCGGCAGGTGCAGCTTGCGGTGGCAGCGCCGTGGCGCCAGTGGCCTCTCGACTTCCAGCAGCAGCGGCGGCAGGCGCCCCATCCAACTGCGAGTCGTCTTCTGGGTTGGTCAGCAGCTGCATGATTGCCTCAGTCTGGCAGGGGTGCAGCATGTAGAAGGGCCTGCGCAGCAGCGGGTGCTCCTGCAGAGGCAGAGGGGCAGAAGCAAGGGGCGTGCGTGCAGGGAAGAGCCACCCATCTGTTGCAAGCAAATGCACTGGGCACAGCAGCAACATGTCAGCGGCACCAAGCATCTGCTGCAGCTTGCCTCCTGAGTCACAACGGTGTGTGGCTTGCCGCTGGCCGCCGCTTGCCGCAGTTGAGGCAGGGCCGAGAGCACAGCCCCCAGGCCCAGAGGCACGCCATTCGGGCCCACAGCCTGCAGCACACCAGGGCGGTGCGGCCCAGGCGGTGAGCGAGCCTGGGCAGGCCATGGTGCAGGCAGGCCATGGTGCAGGCACGTTGTGGCACTTGCGTTGCTTCCCGCCCACCGCTCCGGCTATGCTCCCTGCCGGAGCTGGCTGGCTGGCTGCTGTCTCCCACCTCAAAGTATAGCACAGGGACTCGGTAGGAGGGATGGTAGGCGACGTGACAGGTGAGCGTCAGGAGCTGCGGCGGCGAGGAGGACCCGGCTGGGCTCCCTGCCACGCTGGCTGGATCCTCCTCCTCCTCCTGAATTGCAAACCCCACATCCCCACTGCTTGTGCTGGCTGGGCCTGGTGATCCAGCCTTGCGCTGGGCCGAGCTTGGCTGGTCAGTTGGTGGCAGCGCTCCTGCTGCTGCCGGTGCTGCCTCGGGCGGCAGCGGCGGCGGCAGCACGGTGCGCTGCACGCAGGATAGGTAGCCGCCGCCCTGCGTGGAGACGCCATGATCGGCAGTTGGCAGGCGATGCACTCCACGATACTGGCAATGCCTCCCCGCTTCTTGGATGATATATTTCCAGGCAATGTGGCATGGCTTCCTCCCCACCCAGGGCTCACCACAGATGCCGCAAAGGGGTGCGTCGAGGCCTGCCAGCACCACTGCGTGTCGCCCGCCAAGCACCGCCCCCAGGCCGCCGCCAGCATCTGCGCCCCCGCAGCAAACTCCTCAGCAGTAATCATGGCCGCAGTTTCACGGGTCGTGGAGTGTGCATGCTGCCAGCCCAAGGGTCCACACCGCGAGCAGCACGAGCCACTAGCTGCGCCTGCGCCTGAACCGCCGTCGCCACCACCCGCCTGCCCGTGCTGTGGGGCAAGGCGCAGCCACTGTCCGCAGCCGAGATGAAATATCTCTTCTCTGAGCTTGATATTGGCACCCAGCTGCTGTTGAGCGTCTCAAAACGCAACGGAACAGAGGGCGCTTGGCGCCTATAGCTTGCTTGAGAGCGACCAGCGTTTCCCAAGAGACTCCAGGCAATCTGGTCTCCTCCAATTGCCTTGCTCCGACTCGTGCAGGGCGTTCTCAAATGAGCAGCAGTACCTACGTACAGACGGAGACGATGAGAGACTTGGAGGCGTGAAGGCGCCAATCGCGGACTGCTGCTCGATCCACAATCAATTGTGCTCAGTGACAGCGCCCCTGGAATCGTCATCGCCCAGCAAACATGCAGAGCGCGCTTGTGGGCACGCCTTTGCCAGCCCGACCGGCCCTGGCGGTTCGGCCTAGCGTGAGCAGGACATGCACACCGATGGCGGTGAGTCTGGTGTGGTAGCAACGGCTGGAGCGCCGGCCGCACTTCCGCCGCACTGCCGCCTCCCTCCCACTAGCACTGCTTGCTCGCCTGCCCGCAGCTGTTTGGCTTTGCCAAGTCCAAGGCGGCCGCGCCCAAGGCCCCCAAGTACGAGACCGTCACCATGCGCAGCAGCTTTGCCATCCCCACAGTCCTGCTGGGTGCGCACGCGACGTCAGCGCGCCACACTCTGTGTCTCGCATGCTGCCACGCACCATCATCCGCCGAGGGGCCCAGCGGCTTGCTGCCATCATCATGCACACACCCCTCACCTGGCTGCGTGCCGCGCCCTCCCAGTGACCGCCGCCGCCGCCGCCGCCGCTGCCCGCTGCCGGCCCGCCGCCCGCAGGCACCGCTGCCGCGGCTCACTTTGCGGAGCTGGATGTGGTGAGCTACGTGACGGGCGTGCTGGGCGCGTTCCTGGCCTTCCAGGCCAACCGCGTGCGCTTCGTGTTTGACGAGGAGGCGCTAGAGGTGGGTGGGTGCTAGAGGTGGCTGGCATGGGCTGGGCAGGCTTGGGTCAGGGGGCCTCTGGCACCCCTGCCGCGTTTGCTAAGTTGTGCCTCTGGCGCCTGGGCCTGTGGCGCAGCCAGGCACAGGTGCAGCCTCCGGCTGAGTAATCGTGCTGCCCTGACTGCCTGCTACGCCGCCTTGCCATCACAAGTCACGCCCGCCGCCCGTCGCATCCTGGCCGCCTCCCTACTGACACCCTCACACACACACTCCCTCCTGTGCCGCCACCAGGTGCTGATCGGCCCCGGCGCCAAGAAGAGCGACAACGCGTTTGTGGGGGGCGAGAACCGGTGGGCGTACAGCAGCTTTGTGAACTGGGAGTTCTGGTGGCCCGGCTTCCCTGTGCTGGTCTACTTCAAGGTGGGAGGGGTGGTAGGGAAGGCAGCTGGGTGGGCGGGGCCGAGAGGTGCTGCAGGGCAGCCGGCTGCGATGGGCAGTGCGTTGCTAATGCTGTGCACGCTGTGCCAGGTGCCGAAGAGCCTCTCTGCCCCTCTGGCTCAACTCCCTGCACCTGCACCCTTTACGTTCTGCAGGAGACGCAGACCAAGCCTGAGGGACAGGTGTGTGCTTGAGGGCAGCTGCCGGGGCCAGCGCCTGCTGACAGCTGCGTGCTGGCTGCCGCCTGCGCCGCTATCCACAGCCTGTAATCCTGCATCAGGCATGCCCCCCGCCCCTGCACCTGTTTCGTGTGGCTTACCCTGCCATACCCTGGCCTCCCCACCTTGATAATCGCACCGCGTCCAGATTCACTTCTTTCCAATTATCATGGACGGCAAGCAGGTGAGCATGGCGGGGCTGTAAACGGCCTCCAGAGGCTCGGAAGCTCGTTTGGCGCCTTGACCGCCGCACCCCCTGCCCCTGCAGCTGTATGATACCATGGTGGAGCGCTGCGGCCCCAGCCAGAACAGTGGGCCCAAGAACTGAGGGGCGGGGTGCTAGACAGTCCCATGCCCAATCGAGAGGTGGTCACGTTATACTTTGCCTGCCAGAATTTCATTAACGAATCAGGGAATTGTATGAGGCACTGAAGCTGATAGTAGCCACAGTCGCTCGAACATGTAACAATGCTGCAACTGAAACCAAGTGCTGCGAGGCTGGCGGCAAATCTTGCTAGCTGCTTGCCGCGCCCTGCCTCGTCACGCTAGCGATCGTCTCGTGCCTTCTTCCGCTGCCGCTGCCGCATCGTTGCTGCTGCCGCTTCCGTTGCTGCCGCCAGCGCCCACGCGTGCCACAGCGATGCTGCTGGCCAACGGCGGGAAGCGGAAGACCGCCAGCCCCGCCTCGCCGCCATCCAGGTACTGCACTGGGAAGCGGGCCAGCGAGGGCAGGAAGGCGGCGCGCCCCAGCGCCCCCACCACGCCATCGATCGCCGCCTGCAGCCCGCTGCCGCCGCCGCTGCTGCCGCCATTACTGCTGCCGCTGCCGCTGCCGCTTGGTGCGCTGCTCTCGATGGCGGCGCTGCTGCTGGGGTCTTGGGAACTTGGTGACGGCGGCAGCTCAGGCCGCAGCGCATCCTCCCCAAAATCCACCCAGAACCGGTCAAAGCTGAGAAGCAGGGTGGCGTCGTCGGCCGCCGCCAGCGTGCCGCTGGCGCTGAGCCAGCCGGCGCCTAGCAGCGGGTGTTGGTAGCGCACCTGCAGGGCGTGGAGAAGCGCAGGAGGGCAGGCAGGCGGGGATGATGCAGGTCAAGGGGATGCATGACAGCCAATGGGCAGCGTGTCTTCCCGTCGTGGCTGTTGGCAGAGAGTCAGCAGGCCTCTGTGCAAGTCATACGCTAGGAGTGCCGCCGCAGCGCTCTCACATTTGAGATCAGCTCCCCGCCACGAAGCGTGTAGCGGATGGGCTGGAACCGCGCCCTTAGTGCCGCCGACAGGCGGGCGATGTGCGGGGCGTGGAACACCTCCCAGGTGCCCTGCCCATCCAACAGGCTGTCCGGGCCGGGCTTCGCACAGGCGTTGCTTGCGATCAGGTCGGCCACCGCAGCTGCCAGCTCCTGCGCCGCCGCGCCGGTGCTGTACAGGTCGGCGCCGCCCTGCCGCAGCTCCAGCACCCGCGCTTGCGTGGATGAGAGGCGGGATGGCGCAGCAGAAGCGGCAAGCCGCCTGAGGGCGCGGTTCCTGGGGGAATGCGGCCCCGCCAGCGCCGCAGGGCGTGGCTGATTGAAGTGGACGGACTGTGGAGCCATGTGCACGAGAAATAGATGCGCCAACCGATGATCGGGTGGCTCAGTATGGCATGGCGGTCTACCCCGCTGGCGGTGGCGCAGCGTGCGCCTCACGCCGCATTGGGTCCCGACAGATTCCCTCTCTGAAACTTAATGCCACGCTTCCCCTGCATCATCTCACAACTGCGGCTGCAGTAAGGTGGCGCTGGGTTGGCAGGCAGCCACACCACCCCCTTCAAACAAGAATCCTTTGCAGCCTCCCGGCACTGGCTCCGACAAAACCCAAGCCCAGCATCCGCCCCTGGCAGCCACCATGCCGGGCCTGGTAGCAACTACCGACCAGACTGGACAGAATGGGCACTCAGATGACAAGCAGGACACCTGCGATTGCATCATAGTCGGTGTGCCCGCCGCCGCCGCCACCAACGCCCAGCAGCAGAGGCCGAGCAGAGCAGAGCATTGCATGTCTGAGCCAGCATCAGAGCTCGTGCACGAGGCGGTAACCGCCCAGCACTGCCGCCGGCCTGCATGCACCTGCGTCTCAGCGCCGCACCGCCTCCTTTGCACTCTGCTCCTGCCTGCTGCGCAGGCGCGGGGCCGGCAGGCCTCAGCGCGGCGCTGATCCTGGGGCGCGCCCGCCGCTCGGTGCTGCTGTTTGATTCCGGCGAGAAGCGGAATGAGGCCAGCCTGGTGCAGCACGCAATCCTGGGAGCAGATGGATACGACCGTCTCCGCTTCCTGGAGCGGGCGCGGCGCCAGGTGTGAGACCGCCTCATGACTGCATGCAGGATGGCCCGCTGCCTGCGCAGTGCAGTCATCGTGGCTTTCCATGCAGCTTCGTGCCTTGACTGATGGGGCCCATCCAATGCTGCTTTTGCTGTTGCCCTGAGTATTGCGACTGCAACTTCCGTTCGCCCTCTGCCACCGCCCTGGTACTGCAGGTACTGCGGTACCCAACCGTGAAGCTGCACTGCCTGGCTGTGTGCGACATCGACGTGGGGGTGGTGGAGGCGGAGCAGAAGTGCCCAGAGGGCCAGCCCAACTGCCACGCAGGTGTGCGGCAGCAGGGGACTGGCAGCGGGCACACAGCAGGAAACAATCAGTCGGTGGTCAGCAAGGAGGGCAACTCAGGGTCTGACGGCTTCCCTTTGCAGTGCTGCGCGATGGCCGGCGCATCACCGAGACAGACCGCTTCACGGTTCACACTGAGGACGGGCGGCAGGTGGGCTGGGTTGTATGATCGCGGTGGGCTGGGTTGTGTGATAGCCCACCGTTGAGCCGTGTGCCAGCCCAGGACGGCACGCCTCGACCAGCGAGCCTCCTGTTCAGCTGGAGGAGCCTGAGACATGCGCCCCTGCCTGCCAGAACCTGCCTGTCTGCCTGCTTGCAGTGGAGGAGCAAGAAGGTCATCCTGGCCACAGGTTGGTGCCAGCCCGCACCCGAGTCTGCCTGCACCCCTGCGCCCCAGCCAGCCACTTGCACACAGACAAGGCCGTGCTGCGCTGTGCGCATCCTGCCGCAGGCGTGCGGGACCTGATACCCGACATTGAGGGCTTTGACACGTGTGAGTGCATGCCCTGGCAGAGCAGGAACCGATGCCCAGCAGCCGTCCACTGAGCTGAGCTGCGCTGCAAAGCCCACCTAGCAGCACCGCCCTGTCCCGAGCCCACCCTCCAGCTGGCGTGCACTTGATGCAGACTGGGGCCGCGGCATCTGGGTCTGCCTGTACTGCGATGCTTACGAGTACACCGGCCAGCCGCTGGGCGCCTACGGCAACGGCGAGCGCGGTGTGCACATCGCCTTCGAGGTGCGGCCACATGGGCCTGGCCCGCACGGCCCCGGCCAGCAGGGCACAGCCGGTGGGCGCCGCACTGAGGTCGGAGCCGCTGCTTAGCGGCATACGTTCGAGTGTCGCATGACCGGGCTGTTGTGTTTTGAACCCATGTTTGACCCATGATGCGCAGATGCTGCTACGGTCCACGGATGTCACCCTTTTCACCGACGGCGAGACGCTCAAGGCCACCGACATGGTATGGTGTGGCTATTGGCTGGTTGCTGGCTGCGCAGCACCACCACATGCCTGCTGATCTCACCCGATGCCCGTCGCCCAGTGTTGCTGCGCCCCAGGCACCCCACCGCACGATGCCTGACTGCACCTCCGCAGGAGCGCGAGCTGCTGGCCAAGCACGGCATCGCCGTGATTGAGACGCCCATCGCGCTGGCGGTGGGCGACAAGGGCGGCCAGCTCAGCGGCGTCGTCTTGCAGGATGGCTGCTTCATACCGATCAAGTGGGTAGACTTACAATGGGCGCAGGGCCCGGCATCGCGCCCTGTTGTGTTGGCTGCCACAGCCGCCAGCTGTGGCGACTTGCGGCTGCGGCAGCAGCACGGGTGCCCGCTGCCCTCCCCTCCACCTGTGCCGCCACCGGCGCGGCACAGACCCGCGCACCTGCCTGCCAGCCCCGCCCTGCAGGGCCCTGTTCTTCAACACCGGGCGCATGCAGTCGTCCACGCTGCCTGAGAAGATGGGGCTGCCTGCCGACGACCGCGGCGACATTGTGTGCGAGGCCAAGGGGAACGTGCTGGCCATCCACGGCCTGTATGTGGCGGGTGCACATGGATGGGCCGCATGGATGGGCTGCTGGCAGGGGGCTGGGCACGGCATGGATGGGCAGTGGTAGGGCAAGCCTTGCAGTGGTCTGCTGCCTGCCTTCAAGCGGCCGGGCTCGGCCACGACTGCTGCAAAGCATTCGCCCCGCAGGCAACTGCGCCACCGCACCGCTGAAGCTGGTCATGACGGCGGCCTCCCAGGGCGCCATCACCGGCGCCAAGGTCAACTCAGGTCAGGCAGGGGGCTTCGGGCGTCTGCCGCCTAACAGGCACCCGGGCAGAGCATCTGCCCCCTGGCCCCCGCCGCGAGCCCCTTGCACTGCCAGCCACGGCGTTGGTAGTGCCTGCCGCGCTGCATACGAATCCAAGCGGTGGTGCCGATGCACGACGCCGATGCACGACCTGCACTGCCTGTACCGCAGAGTTACTGTACGAGGAGCTGGGATTAGGTGATGACGAGGGCGAGGCGTACATCTGCAGCCTGGAGGGCTCGCGCACCAGCGCCAACCAGTGCAGGCGGGAGTTTGGGGAGGCGGGCAGGTGGGGCTTGGGGAGCAGTGGCTGGCCGTTAGCAGCACAGCGAGTGGCAGCTCGTTGGCGGGCAGTGGATGGCCCCACCCCTTTGAGGGTGCCCTCAGGGATGTCCCGATAGCAAGGTGGGGCTCGCATGCACCTCCGGTCCTGCAGGCGCCACCGCTCCCACCCCACTATCGGCGGGGTCTGGGAGGAGGCGCGGGAGCAGAAGGTGGGCTCCTCAGGGGCGCAGTGAGGCAGGGCCGCAGCCCTGCCGCCTGCACCACAGGTCAACCTGCTGCAAGGTGCATGTGGCACCCAGTGCCTGTCCATCTTCCTGTGCGCGTGCATCCCACATTGTACTCAGGCTTGGTACCGCATGCAAAATACTTGGTTTAGTGCGAGAAAAGAATATCAAAAGCTAGCATAGGGGGAATCACAGGGACAATAGGGAGCAGCAAGTACAGGCGACGTTCACAGCTGCATGGTACGGGCGGCAAGGGTCCCCCGCGCCAATCGGGACTAGTAGGTGGCCGCCAGCTTGGGGTCCAGTTCCTGCACCCTCCCAAACTCCTGCTGCCTGCTGACGCTGTAGCAGAGGTGCGTGGCGTACAGCCAGCTGTGCAGGTCTGCCAGGCTGCGCATGCCGGCGGTGTTCTTGTGCCAGGTGGCCACCGCCGCAGCCTCCTTGGCAGCCCGCGCATCAGTCACGTCCGCCTCAAAAATGCCCTCGTCGCTCACTGCGGCAGCACGGCAGGCGGGCTCGGCATCAGCGCACCACACGCTCAGCAACCATGCAGCCAGCTCGAGTTACGGCCCGAGGGACCGACACAGCTCAACACAGCCGTCAGCTGCCCTTCCACCACTCAGCACAACATAGTCATGCACATGCCACCACCACCATCGCCACACGCAGCCAGCGCCCCTCTTGCCTGCCCGGTACTCCAGGCGGTACCAGGCGGGGTCGCCGTGCAGCTGCCTGCCCGCCAGGCCGTACACAAAGTCGAAGGTGGCTTGGGTGCGCGGCATGTGGAACTCGCTGGTGACCACGGCGATGCGCCTGCGGAATCCAGGGGTGCGTTTGTTTTGCGTGGTGGGGGCAGGGTGGGAGTGGGATGGTGCGCGGGTAGGCTGGCGTGGCAGGGTGTGTTTGCCGCATGCGGGCAGGCAGGGCAGGCGGGCAGGCGGGCCGAGGGCCGGCCGCCACGGCCGCCCAGCTGTCCCTCAGAATGTGGCAAGCGCCCCCGCAGGGCCTGCGCGCCCGCACCTCCAGCCCGCGGGCAGGGCGTGCTGGAGGAGAGAGAAGTAGCCGTTACCCACGGTGTCGCACGACTGAGTCTCCTTGAGCAGGTCGCCTGCCGGCACGCCCCGCCCCATGAGGTAGGCGGCATACGCCGTGCTCTCGTACAGCACGTACCCGCGGTCGTCCATGACGGGCGGCTTGTGCGGCGTGGCCGCCCCCAGCAGCACGATGGGGCAGGGGCCCGCTGCGGCGGCGCGCCACGGCTGGCCGGGGCACCCGTCAGCGCTTCGCGTTGGCGTTGGCGTTGGCGTTGCTGCTGCTGCGGTCTGGCTGGCGGCGTGCAGGGCCTGCTGCTGGTGGTATAGGTGCAGGGACCCCTCCAGGCGGCGCACCACCCACTCTGGGAGGCTGCCGTCTGGGAACAGGCCGCCGCCAAGCATCATAATTGCATCATATCGGCCGCTGCCGCTGCCGTTGCTGCTGCTGCTGCTGCTGCTGGTTGCTGGATCGAGGCTGGCTGCCGTGTCCAGCAACCAGCCGGTGCTGCTGCTGCTGCTGCTGCTGCTCAACACGCTGCTGCTGTCGCTGCCGCCCAAGCTGGCACGGGCTGCGCAGCCGCGGACGGCAGGTGGGACCTGGCAACGCTGCCGCCTGGCGGGGGCCGCCACCCAGGCTGGTAGTGGCTGTTGGGCCTGGGCCTGCATTGCATTCAGAAGAATGAACCATTGGGCTTGTTCTATCGGCTGTAAAAACAAAGCTCCCGCGCCGGGCACCTCTGCCACTGCAGATACTGGCGGCGGCGGCTGGCGGCGGTGCGCCCCCACCCGCGCCCTGCAGCTCACCGCCTGTCTGATGCACCCATGCATGCCTCTCGCGGATGCCATCGCCCGCATGGCTCCTGGTCAAGTGCAGGAGGGGAGGGCAATGCTGGGGGAGGGCAGAGCGCTGCGTTGTGTCCTGGGGCTATTGATGGCGATCCGGCTTCCGTTTCTAAGTGCGTTTTGAGCGCCGCCAGCCACCACAGGCGTTTGCTCCCGCGTCTTTCCAGCACGGCAGTTCATTTATGAACTGGGGAGGCGAGCAGGACTGCCTCCCGGCATCGAATTTGTGCTGCTAGGGACCCATCTGTCAACATAGAGCCACAGCAGCGGGCTCACCGACCCGCCCGCCAGAAACAGCCCGCCGGCTAACACTCAGCCTGGGCCGCCATAGCACCTCCTTCCCGCTTGCTTAGGGACGCAGCCGACGGCCCAGACTTTCCGCCACCCCACTGCGGCCTGCGGTTGGCGGGCACACATGTGCCGCTGACACCCGCCGCCGCCACCGACACCCATTGACAGCTCGGCAGCCGCGTGCCAGCCATGAGCGCCGCCGAGGTGTTGCACGGCGCCTATGAGGCCCCCAGGGCGTATGCCAGCGGCCAGGGTCCGCAGCCCGACCTGCGGCCCACCCTACTTGTCACCACTGTGGACATTGGCGAGGGGCGGGCGGGGCGCATCGAAGTGCGGCAGGGGGACGATCCTATCGACGTCGCAGCCGCCTTTTGCAGCCGCCACGGCCTGCCCGAGGCCATCGTGCTGCCACTGGCGCAGCACCTGGAGGACAACTTGGCGGAGAGCGGGGCGTGGCCCGAGGCGGGGCAGCCCCCAGCAGGCGCCGAGTATCGGCAGGGCGAGGGGGCTGGAGATGGAGAGGTGGGCTGGAATCCTGCGCCTGGGCAGCATCTGCACTGGCTGGGAGGCTGGCGCCGCATATGGTGTGGCCCAACCAGGGGCGGCGCTAAGCAGGTGGTGTGCCTGGCGCGGCGCCCCACTGGCGGTTTGGTTTCTGTGCCAGTCGGCGCCCCTGCAGGCAAGCCCGCATCACATGCCAGCCTGTTCTCTGCTACTGCGGACTGCTATTGTGCAGGAGTCAGAGGAAGATGAGGGTTATAGCTACGCCAGGCTGTCTGCGACCGCTGCCGGCAGCAGGAGCGCCTCGGCCGAACCTGCGGCACCGCATGCTGGCGCCGCGAAAGGCATGCCGGCGCCAGCAGGCAGCCGCCCCGGCAGCGCCCAGGCCGGGGCAGGCAGCGGCTCCGCGCCTCACCCCCAGCCGGCCCACCACCTGCAAGTGGAGCCTTCTTCCCGCAGCGCGGGGGTGCTGGGCGCCCGGCCGCCGCCGCCTGGGGAGCAGGCCGGCCCGCGGCCGCAGACCGCCGGCGCCGCCCTCGGCGGGCAGCCGTCCGAGGAGCAGCAGCAGCAGGGCCCGCCATCGTACCGCCCCGCCAGCATCCACAGCGCACGGGGCGCGGAGTACTTCAACCACGCGCCCAGCAGCAGCGGGGGCTCCCACCCAGACACCGACGGCGGCCTGCACTACCGCACCGCCGGCGTCGGCGGCGCAGCCTCGCTGCCCGCCCACACCCGCCTCTACGCCGACCACTTCCGCAAGCAGCAGCGCCTGGAGGAGGAGCGGCGGCTGAGGTGGGGGCCGCCGCCGCTGGGCCGGCACACTCCTGCATTGTGGGGGCAGCCCTGCGCCGCAGCATGCATGTGCATGCGGTCGTTCCAGCGCCCTGCCCGCATATGCCCTGCCTGGTGCGAATGCATGCTGACCTTAAGCATGCTGACCTTGGTCGTGCTGGGCTGGCTGCTGCCGCCGCAGGGACCTGGAGATCCAGCTGAAGACGGAGCAGGTGCACATTGCGCCCGCCTCCAACAAGCTGGCCTCCCACCGTACCGCCGGGTCGTACCGCAACTACGGCGAGCGGCTGTACGTGGAGGGGCGGCTGGAGGCGATGAAGAAGGAGCAGCTGGTGGGTGGTGTATGGTTCAGCACGCCGGGGTTAAACATGCTGGGGGCCAGCATGGGGTCCATGGACACACAACAGTGATACACCAGGCCAGGAGGGCCCCCTGGCTGCCAGATGCGGCGCAATGAGCACGCCCTCCTTTGCGCACGCGCGGCTGTGCAGGCGCAGCGGGTGAAGGAGGAGGAGGCGCGGGCGGAGGTGGAGCAGCACACCTTCCAGCCCGAGATCAGCAAGCTGGCGCAGCAGATACGGCAGGACGAGGCCGAGTGCGGCGGCGGCGCGGGCACCGCCTACCAGCGCCTGTACCAGCGCGGGGCCACTGCCAAGCGCCAGGTGCGTTTGGCGGCCGGGTGGGCTGGCCCGTGCGGTGTCAGCACCATGGCACACGCAGGCTCCCTCCCTCCTCCCGGCTGGAGCATTGTGCACATCCAATACTTTGCCCTACAACACCATCCAAAACCCATCCTGCCATGCATCAACATGAAACATACAAACTGCCCCTGCCTCGCCCCGTGCCCTGCATCCCTCTTCCACTTGCCTGCCCTTTCAACGCCTGCAGGAGCGCATGGAGTGCATCCGCCGGGAGCATGATGAGGCGGAGGTGCGGGAGTGCAGCTTCCGGCCACAGATCAACTCCAAGTCGGCGCGCATGGTGGAGCAGCGCCAGCAGATACTGAGGGTGCGCGGGGCGGTGCTGCCTGAGGAGGAGGGGTGGTGGCCCGCCGTGTGGCCGTGCAGTGGCCGCACGTGTCTGTGTGGTTGAGGTGGGTGTGGTGCGAGAGCTTGGTGTGCTGGGGTGTCCGTCCATCTCCCCGCCTCCCACCTGATGGGCCTGCATCGTTCGCGCCCTGCCTGCCTGCAGGAGAGCGGCATCGCGGGGTACGACCAGCTGTACAACGACAGCATGCGGCGCAGGCTGAAGCTGCAGCAGCTGGCGGCGAGGCCGCCTGAGGAGGCCACGTTCCGGCCACGGGTGCGTGGGGCACGTGCGATTTGGCTGGGTGGCGCGTGATGCCGGCGGGGGCAGCGCATGCGCACCAGCAGCCGGCAGAAGCCCAACGGCATCTGTCTCTCTCACTGGGGCGGTCTCATTGCCAGCGCTGCACCTGCTGCTGCATCTTCACGCTGTGCTGCCTGCCGTGCTCCCTGTCCTGCTGCTGCAGGTGAACACCAGCAGCGTGGTTTTGAAGAAGCTGATGGAGGGGCGGGAGGGTGAGGAGGCGCTGGGTGGCAGCGCTGACGTGGCAGCCAGGTGGGTTGGCGCTGCTCGCGTGCTGCATACGCTGTGGTCTGCCTCTGCCTGTTCGTCGCGCTACCTGGCTGGGTGCGGGGCCTAGCTGCCTGTGTCCTACGGCCGAGCGCAGAATCAGAGGCCCTGGCCCCTGCCATGTGCTGCCCTGCAACTGCCCCGCCCCTGCCCTGCAACCGCCCTGCTCCCTGCAGGCTGCTGGAGCGCGGGCGCCAGTACAGCGAGAAGCTGGCTGCGGCGCAGCGGCTGCAGGAGGAGGAGCCACGCGACGCCGCCACCGGGCAGCCGCTGTTCCGCCCAAAGACGCACCGCGCGCCACACTACGAGCGCAACCCCGAGGGTGGGTGGCGCGCGCGCGTGTGTGTTGTATGGGCGGATGGTTGGAATGGAGCAGATACCGCCTGGCCTTGCTTCCCATGTCCATCGTCAGAGTGTGTGGATGGCCGTCCAGCCGGATCGCGTGCTGACGCACATGCTGCTGCTGCTGCATGCTTCTATGCCCCACCCTCAACGCGGTTCTCCTGCTCCGCCGCCCGCCCTCGTCTCTCCGCCTCACCCCTGCCGCTTCACCCCTGCCCCCCGGCCTGCAGGCACCCCCATCGGCGAGTACCTGTACAGCATCAAGGCGGAGTGGGATGAGCGCGCTGCTGCGGCGGCGCACGCCACGCAGCGCCGCGCCACCCGCGACGCCGCCTCCACCTACGTCAACACCCGCTCCGAGGTGTGTTGGGGGGGATGGTGGTGGGTGGTGGTGAGTCTGTGTCACACTATGTGTGCGTTCGGGTAGTTTGGGGAGGGAGGAGGGAAGCTTGGCGGCGCCAAGCTCCACGCTGCCCGCGCTCCTGCCCGCCGGCCAATGCCGTGCCAGCCGACCCGGCCTCGACTTCTTTTGCTGTGCTGCGACCGGTCCAGCCTGCTCTGCAACCTCTGCCTCTTCCTCCTTCTCCCCCTGCCTGCCCTGCTCCCCGCAGCGCCTGGTGGACCGGCTGAAGCGGGAGCGCTTCCGCGCCATCTTTGACTACCTGCGCCGCGGCCAGCCAGCACCCGTGCTCAACCTGCTTGAGACGGTGCAGGTGCGGTGCTGGCTGGCTGGCTGGCTGGCTGAAGGAGGTGGCGGGCTCATGGCCTTTTCCTTGTCAGTGAGCACGTGTGGTACCGGCACCTGACGAATGGTTCTGCCACGTACTGCTGGTACCGCAGGACGAGGTGTTCATGGACACCATAGACCCCGAGGTGCGCGCCGACATTGAGTTTGCGGGCAGGCTGCTGGCCAGGGCCATTGCGCGGCGCCAGAAGGCAGACCTCCAGGTGGGTTCCAGGTGCTGTGTGGGGCTGTGTGTGGGGCCAGGTGCTGCGGTGTGTGTGTGTGTGTGTGTGTGTGTGTAGGCGGGCTGCCTGGCAGGTGGGGGTGCAGCCAGGGAGCTGCGGTGAGGTGGTGGCTGGTGCTGGTGACCTGCCATGCCGTCCTGTGTGGAGCTGACGGCGCGCATGCCTCCCACCCAGCCATTCCCATTCCACCACATACACACACACACACACACCGCTGCCCCTGCCCCTTCCCCTCGTGAGCTCAGGACTCCGCCTGCTCCGCCCCGGACGGCTCCCGCGCCGCCCCGCCGCCCTTTGCCCAGTCCACCGTGGGCGAGCTGGATGTGGGCGGGTTTGTGGCGCTGATGGAGGATGCAATTGGGCGCACCCGGGGTGAGCGGCAGGCTGGGTGCGCCTGCGTGCATGTGTGTGGCTGTGTGGGGCCCTGCAAGGGCTGCAGCATCGGCCCGCGGCGATGCCGCTCATCTGACCCTGCCTCCGCCCCGCCGCCTCTGCCGCTGGCTCTGTTGCCCCTCCTGCGCCGCCGCGCAGGCCTGGCGCGCCAGTACCTGCTGCCCATGCCCAGCAGCCGCCAGAAGTTTGAGGAGCCCTCCTTCCGCCCCGCCATAGACCCGCACTCGCAGGTGGGCTGCGGGGCATTGGCGGTGGCATGGCAGGGCAGGGGTTGGCCAGCTGGGCACTTGAAGAAGGGGCCGCGTTAAGGGAGAGGCCGCCTGGGCGCTGCCAGCTTACTCGGGCACCTGCCCCAGCCAGCAGCAGAGAGGGGTTGCTCTGTTGAAGCAGCTCAGGCGGTTGAGGGTGCAGGGGCAGGCCGCCGTACGGGGGTATCTGCTGAGCAGTGCTCCCACTCCTCTGCCCGGGCCTGCAGGCGCTGGCTGCCCGCCTGCGCCCCGAGTCCCTCCCCGCCTACGAGGTGCTCTACAAGACAGCCGAGGAGCAGGCGGCGAGGCGGGAGATGATGCAGCGGCAGGCGGAGGCGGCCAAGCTCAAGGTGGGCTGGACGGAGGTGTGGGTGGGGTAGTGGTCGTGTGGTTGGGTGTAGAGGCCTGCCCCCCCGAGGCCGGCCTGTGGGTTGTCAGTGGGTGGCCTCGGGACGTTGGGGGCAGCTGCGGCTAGGCGCGCACTCGCCATGTGTGCTATTGCCGCTGGTGCTATTGCCGCTGGTGTGCTGCTGCCTCGCTGATGTGCGCTGCTGCTATGGGCTGCTGCTGGGCGCTGCAGGAGTGCCTGTTCCGGCCCGTCATGCTGGCGCAGCCCAAGGCCAGGGAGGGGCGGGCGATGAAGATGGCGTCTGAGCTCAGGGTGAGGGGAGGCGGCGTAGACGTGGGCCGCTCTCTAGGCGGAAGCGGGCTGGGCCGGGGCTGCGTGGGCCGCTTGTTCCAGGGGAGGATGGGTTGGATGGCGTGTGGTGGTGCTGGTGGCGCCCCTTCCTCTTCCTGCTGTCACCTGGTGCTGGCGGTGCCTGCCCACCTTCCGAGCGCAGGCCAAAGGCTCCAGTGAGGGCGAGAAGGAGCCGAGCGGGGCGGGCGCCGCAGCCCCGGCAGCCGCCCCGGCAGCTGGCCCGGCAGCTGGCCCCGGAGAGGCTGGCAGCGACAGCGATGGCGGCGATGCGGCGGACGGCGGCAGCGGCGGCGGCGAGGGGCTGCACTTTGATGTCCTGGAGCGCCAGATCAATGAGGCGCTCGTGCGGCTGAGCCTGTCGGAGGAGCAGGTGGCGGCCAGCCTGCGTCAGGTGGCGGCAGGCGAGGCGGCCGAGGTGGCAGCGGCGGAGGCGCAAGGTAACTCGGGCGGGGCCGGGCCTCTGCACTCGATGCTTGGCCTTTGGCTTGCAGCCGGGCCCAGCGGCGGCAGCTCGCCATGCTCCCTCCCCATCCCCCGTACCGCACTTCCCTCGCTGCTGTACCGCAGTGGCTCAGCCGGTGGATGGCAACGGTTTCCAGCTGGACTTCCGCGCCATCTGCGGCTCGCCCTCCCCAGATGACCTCCTCACGCTGCCGGGTAAGCGCCCACTGGTTGGAAAGAGTCTGCACATGCATGCACGTGCTGCAGAGCACAGCTGGTTGCGTGCGTGCGGCATCGGCGCTGGCGCCTGCCGCCACCCCGCCCAGCGCTCTTGCCCCGAGTTGTTTACTGTCCATGCAGAGTGCTGCGGTACCGCCGGCGTGGCCTCAAGCCTGAAGGGCTTCAATCCGCTGGACGACATTGAGGAGGGCGCGGGGGCCCCGGCAGCGGCGGCGGCGCCCGCCGCGGGCGCCAGCGTGGCCTGGTGAGCACTTGTAACCATACCTGTGTGCCTGCCGCTGCGCCCAGCACATCACTTGGCTTCGCGTAATCCCGGGAAGTTGTTTCTGTCTTGCTCTCCAGGGCTGACGACTCGCAAGAGGTGGTGGCCCGGATGATTGACAGCCACACCCCCGGCAGCGACGGTGGCGGCGGCAGCGGCAGCGGCGCCGCTGAGGAGCTGGTAGGGCTGGACCTGCATGCCTTGGCCTCCACAGACCTGCCGGAGCATGCGGGGCAGGCGGGCGCGGAGGAGGTGGCACGCCAGGCGTAGCGCGGCGGGCGGCGGGCCCGGACTGGCAGCAGAGCTGCGCCAAGGGTTGCGTCGGCTGCTGGTTGTAACCCTCGACAGGCACTGTAACCCTGGACAGTGACGGATTCTACTCCATTTTGAGCAATGCAGCGAGGCCCCTTGCCATCACGGCCAAGCGCCGCCCCGCCTGTGGTGCCGCCGCATCAAGGACAGTCTTGCATTTGCTAATGAAGGGTCACAGGCAGCCCCAGGGGTGCAGAACCGATCAGAGCAGCGGCATGAAGCTCGGCTCCTACGTTCGTGGAAGCAGGTCGAGAGCGCCGTGCCCGCCTGAAGCGCACCCCAGAGCAAGGCTGGCCCACTGGTGCACCGCTGCTGCTGCTGCACTACGTCACACGAGCGCTTCCCGGTGCGGCCACAGCATTGGCTTACAGTCCCAGCAGTCACAAGCTCAAGCTGTGCCTAAGGGAGCGAGCCGCCGCGCTCAGGCTGCACAGTTGCTGCACTGCCCCGCCGCTCCGCCGCAGGCGCAGGCGGGGCCGCACCGGCGGCCCACCCGCCTGCACCCACAGCGCTTGTCCTTGCAGCCCTTCTTGCAATGGCACGGGCCCGGCTCCTCTCCCTCCTGCTGCTGCTGGCCGCCAAGCCGCGGCTTGCCGCCGCCCCTGGAAGCCCCAGTGCTGCTGCTTGCGGCTGGGCTGGCCGTGGGCGCGGGCCCCTCGCTGCCCACCACGCCGTCGCCGTCACGAGCAGCAGGCTGGGCGCTGCCAGCTCCCTGGCTTGACGTGTCGCCGCTGGCTGGCGCACTCGCCGCCGGCACATCAGCCGCCGCTGGTGCTTCAGCCGGGACAGATGCTGCACCAGCCGCTGCACCAGCCTCCGGCCCAGGAGTGGAGCGCGCCGGCTCGGCGTCGCTGGCTGCCGCAGGCGCCCCGGCAGAGGTGTGCACGGTCCGGGCCGCCCCTGCTGCGGCCGCCGCGGGCGTCTGGGCGGCGCGTTGGCGCATGAAGGGCAGCACATTGGCGACCGCCTGAGCCAGGGTGGACTGGGCAGCCCCTAGCGCCGCTTGCAGCTGAGCCACAGGGGAGGGCGCCGGCGCCGCGCCTGCCGCGGGCGAGCCTGCTGGCGCGGCGCTTCCTGCTGATGCTGCTGCTGCTGCTGCTGCTGCGCCGGGGCCCTCCGCGGCTGCCGCCTCGCCGCCGCCGGCGTGTGCCGCAGCGGCAGCGGCCTGTGCGCCGCCGTTGGAGCACCGGCCCTTGCAGCTGCACCGCGGCGAGCACGGCTGCCCCTCTCTGCGGCAGCCGCACCGGCCGTGGCTGCACCCCATCGCCTGGCAGTTGCAGCCCTTGGCGGCGCTGCCGCTGCGCACCTCTCCATCCCCGCCCACGCCGCCGGCGCCGGTGCCAGCAGACGCGGCGGCAGACGTGCTCATGCCGCGCCGTCCCGCCACCACCGCGCCGCCGCGGCGGCCGCCGGTGCCCGCGGCGGCCTGGGCCTGCAGGCCCCTCGCGGCCGCCATCGCCGCCGCGGCCGCCGCCGCCGCCGCTGCCGCCGCGCTGTCTTCCTGCGAGTGGAACTCGTCCATGCTGCGCAGGGGCAGCGGGGGCGGCGGGTGCTCTCCACCCAGCTGCACGATGAGTGAGGCCAGCGCCCGCCACAGCCGCTCATCCCGCAGGACCACGCCGCCGCCGCCGCGCTTGGCCTGCCTGCACGCGGCACACAGGCAGCGCGGCGGCAGGGGACGGGTCGGGCCGGCGCTCCACAGCAGTCAATCAGGTTGAGTGGTGGCAGGGGGCGGGGGCATGTGAGGTGGTGGTGAGAGGTGGTGGGCTGCCGGGGGCTCTGGCCCACAGCGGCCACAGATGGCCAGCCACAGTCCCACCTATTCTGCCCTCCTCTCCCTGCCTCCCCCCCCCCTCTGATTGCAAGCTGTGATGCGTGGGC